ACACACACACACACACACACACACACACACACACACACACATAAACACACACAAACACATATTTTCCCCCTTTTTTCTGAGAACATTAATTTTAGTTTTTAGGCACATATTTTTATCCCTTGCGCATATTATATATATCAATTCGCCTGTTCTGGTTTTTTTTTTTTTTCGTTTTCTTCTTTTCGGAGTACTAGCAACTTACTGTGTTCCTTGTAGAATATTCAACATTAATTTATATTGCATTCACCTTGTCATTAATTGATTATTACTCTCAATTATTCCCTCAAGAAATCAAATGAGGTAGAACTTGAAAAAGCCCCCGAAGGCCGCTTACAATCTCGGACAGACAAATTAATGCTGTTTCTGGGACACTTGAACTGGTATAAAGGCCTTGAACATCTAGCTCTCGCTAGCAACATGGAAGGCAAATGAGGCAGGGGTGGACCCAGAGCAACCTACTTGGAGATTTTAAACAGATGGGTGTCGAGGAAACATCAGGATAACGTAACATCTTTGAGAGCATCTGAGCAAAGGAATGAATGGAGAAACATGATCACTGATCGCAGACCCGCCCCTTTTTGACGATTCCCTCAGTTTCCTACCCACTTAATGTCTTACTTTTTCAGCCAATCATTTACCATTCTGACTCCTTCTCTCAAAATATCGCTTACTCACTTAAAAACAAACAAACTTATAAATGTTTTCATTTACTGAAAACAGTCACTCGGACACTCGCCAACTCACTGACTTTCTGACTCACTGACTCGTTAACTCACTCACTCACTCACTCACTCACTCACTCACTCACTCACTCACTCACTCACTCACTCACTCACTCACTCACTCACTCACTCGCCGGGGTCGGCCCTGTAAGAATTTGGCTTTTCATCGTTGCACGCAGAAGACACGAGTTCGATTCCAAATAGGGGAAATCTATCTAATCAAGTATCTCGCTGTTGAAAAGGTGAGTTCCATCCAGCATTGGTTTACCCTCATTTCCTGGTTCAAAACAGCCCTCGCCATAATTAATAATATGTCGATGGCGGTTTTAAGACATTTGAAATCGATAAATGAGTCGTTTTATAAATTACTAACAAAAAGAAAGCGAAATTAGGCAAAAAAGACATTGAGAAAAAAATAAAATACAAACTTGTGATAATATTTGCTTTAATAACTAACTGCGCTGCTGTTAACATCTGGATGCCTTTCATTGATCAATTGCTTTTTTGTCTTTTTTAAACGATAAACATTAAACGCTCATAAACAAAGCAAAGCCAACAACAGCACAGAAGCAGCAGAAGCACCAAAAATATTTCGGGAACATTCTTTGATAACGGTTAGGTCGAGGATTGTTGTGCACTTTCAAATGATTGATGACATTTTGGCATCTTAAAAATCAACAAAAGCATCAAAACAGCAACAAAAAACAATAAAAATTAAAACACACACAACAAAAACAACAACAACAACAAAACAGACACAACAAAAACAGCAACAACAACAGCAACAATAACAACAACGACAACGACAACAACAACAAACACAACAACATCAACAGAAACATCAAACGTAATTGTTTTACCGTAAATCTTTAAACCCAACTCATTCTTTCCACACCTCTTCGACCTTTTGTCCAAATCCACCCCACCCCCCCACCCCTTTCCGCACCCGCCCCCTACCCCGCGCCCCAAACAACTTACCCCATCCTCTTTTCCTTCCTTTCTTTTTTACCTTCTCCTCCCCCTCTACTCTCTGAGAGCGAACGAAAGAACGAACAAACCTCCACTACCACCACCACCAACCAACCAGGACTTTAATTCTCTCTCAGTCCTGTCGTATCTCCGCGGAGGATTACCTGGGCCCGGACGACAATCGCCAGGGAGGGGCGGGAGGGAGGGCCCCGGGGCCCCTTCCCTTTGTCAGCGGCCCACAGTGGGGCCCTTCGGGTGACACCCACTGCCCGCCTCCAGCATTCAGGCGTTAGGCAATGCAGGAATTCCACGGCCCTAAGGCTTCCACAGAGCCCGACCTCAGGGCTAGAGGGAGCTATCTGGAATGTAACTCATGTAACTCTTTTTACGGTGGTTGAGAGGAAGGAGGGATAGAGAGGGAGGAGTAATAGAGAGGAAGGAGAGATAGAGAGAAAGCAAAGGTAGAGATGAAGGAGTAAGGAGACATAGAGAGGAAGGAGAGATAGACAGGAAGGAATAAGGAGTGATAGAGAATGAGTGGCAGAGAGGAAGGTGGGGTAGAGAAAAAGGAGTGATAGAGAGCTGGGAGTAAGGAATAATAGAGAGGAAGAAGAGATAGAGAGAAGAAGAGATAGAGAAGAAGAAGTGATAAAGAGGAAAAAGTGATCGAGAAAAATGAATGATAGAAAGTAAGGCTTGAGAGAGAGAGAAAGGAAGGAGTGAAAGAGAGAGAGAGAGGAAGGAGTGATAGAGAGGAAGGAGTGATAGAGAGGAAGGAGTAATACAGTGGGGAGGACTGAGATAAGGGG